GCCCCTTTAGCCTACTAGTCTATACTGCTATTGAACATTTTTTAGCTTCCAACATTACAAAAGAGACGTCCAATGTCATTTTTATTTTTAGATAACTTACCCTTTTAACCTAAAAGTTTTTCTCTTTATCCTTACAGTATAGAAATTATACCTTTTTATGTCTAGTGGGTCTTTACTCACTAATCTGGACTGAAATGTAGTGAGTTATTTGGTCTACATTCATGCCTTCTCAAAAATTTTCAACACAAAGGCAATTTCTATTATACTGTTAGTCATTTGTTTCTTCACTTTTATAAACTCCTCTTTCCTTTTTCTTTCTCTTTCCTTTCCCTTCTTTCTTTTTCTTTTTCTTCTCCTTTCCTCTCTTTCTTCCTCTTTTCTTTCTTTCTTTCTTTTCCTTCCTTCCTTCCTTCCTTCCTTCCTTCCTTCCTTCCTCTCTCTTTCTTTCTAAACTTTTGTGTCTGCATATTAGGTCTTATAGATCTACTATTTAAGCCTATGATCTTTTTTCATTATTTCCATCTCTATTTTATTCCTCTTCTATGCTTTCAGGTATTTTTTAACCAAATCATAAAGGATACATTTTGGCTCAAAAAGTGACCATTTTTCCTCCTCCACCTCAATTGCTAACATGCTTGATTAGAAAAAATTAGACTTTTTTCACATTGTACTCACATATTTTTCTCATTCAAATGTACAAATGTTCTAAGGTTATTAGAGATATTTATAAAAATACAGTGTAACATAGACTTGCATGCATGCACATACACACACACTCATGAAAGATTTGTGACAGACATGGATACAAAGCAGCGGGGGTAAGAAAGGTGGTCCACAATACCTACACAGATTCCAGAGACCTCTCTCAGTCACAAGGTTGTGCTTTATGGCCAGCAAGTGAACCACTAAGATATTTTGATTTCAGGGAAGCCACAGCTCATTCAAGTAGGGGTCTTTTATACTACAACTGTCATGTAGCTGAAACCAAGCTATGGGACCAGGTTCAATAGCAGAAACCAAGATAGCATAACAGAAACCAGATGCAAACCATTCATCAATACATTTTCTATAAACAATATTGGCAAGCTGTTACAGATTTCCCTCTTGGTATTTTTTGGAAAACTACATTAGCACAAAACTGCATTAATTCCTATGTAGTATATTCTATTCTGGTTTGATCAAGGATCAATACCATGGCTCCAGGGATCCCTGGAAATATTTGTAGGATTTCAATATACCATTTAAGACTTACAATGAAATTATACACTGTGAGTTAGAATTTTTCATCAGGCTTGGAAAATTATAAATCATTATTTCTTCACATATTGATCTTTGCTCACTTTATCTTTTCTGAGACTCTAATTGTATATGTTAGATATTTTCATTGTGTTCCCTATGTTTCTGATATAGTATGGGTATTTGTTACCACCAAAATCTCCTGTTGAAATGTAATCCCTAACATTGGAGGTGTGGCCTGGTGGGTAGTATCTGGGTCATGGGGGTGGGTCCCTCATGGCTTGGTAATGTCCTTGTGATAGTGAGTTCTCATGATATCTGCTTAAGTGTGTGGAACCTCCCTCCCTACTCTCTCTCTCTTGCTCCTTCTCCCATCATGTGAGACATGCCCACAGCCCCTTCACCTTCCATCATGATTGTAAGCTTCTTGAAGCCTCCCCAAAAGCCAAGCAGATGCCAGCACCATGCTACCTGTAAAACTTGCAGAACTGTGAGCTAATTCAACCTGTTTTCTTTATAAATTATCTAGTCTCAAGTTATTTATTTATACAATGCAAGAATGACCGAATACAATTTATGTTCTTTTCTTCTCTGTACTTTAGCTTGGAGATTTTTATACATAAATATAAATAAAATATATTCATATAAATATAAATATTTATATATGAATCTATTTTATATATTTATAAATGCTTATATATTTATATTTTATATGTAAAAATAGATTTATATATAAAATAAAAATTTTATAGTACAAATATTTTTATATAAAAATGTTTTTAAAAACTCTCCAAGCTAAACATATGAAATATATATATTTTATATGTAATATAATTAAAATTATATGTAATATATTATACATGTAATATAATTATATGTAACATAAAATATATATTTAAAATCTTATAAATTTATATAATTTAATTTTACAAATATACTTTATAAATCTTAAAATATCTATTTTAAGATTTTATATATATAAAATTAAAATTTAAACATATATTTAACATTTTATATGTGTATATAAAATTTATCTTCTCATTTAGGTATCTGTATTCTTTCCTCTTTTTCTCTGGTGGATCTGATCTGCTGTCACACACATCTATTACATTCTCAATTTTATTTTTATTCATAAAATTGAAATTTGATTTTCAATTAAAATTCCCGATCTTGTCAACTCTTCTCCATTACTGAACATATTAGTCGCAATTAATTACTTTTAAGTACCTATTTGTTATCCTGATAATTGAATGAATTTGTTGTCATCCATGAATTTGTTTCTATTGTCTTTTTTTCTGACCTTATAATTTTTGGTTGAATTATCAGACATTGTATATGAAACACTGTAGTAGTTCTGAATGATAACATTCCTCCTGAGAGAGTTCCTCTCATAGGCAGTTAGAGAGGGGGCAGATAATAACAATCCAGTCAGGTATGGAGCTGACTCAAAGTTGAATTGCAGCTCCATCTCTATTTATTGCCAGTTTGCTTCTGTACTTATTCTTTTGCTCTCCAGGAACTCTAGTTGGGTATCTCTTTCTTGGTGGGTTTTGAACTATAATTCCTATTTCCTCTGATCTGTGATGAGACCTCTGAAAATTTTCTGTGCACTTCAACAGTTTTCTTCTTATCTTCTTTTCCTGTTCATCTTAAGAATTCTGCTAATGTTTGAAGAGAAAACCACCAGGTTTTAGGCTGGCTGCTTAAAGATTCCCTTTTCATCAGGATCTTGGCCCCTACATTCCTTGCTGTCTTGTCAGACTTGACTCCAATTTGTGTTCTTAGTTACGTGACACTGACCAAAATTACGGAAAATTCTATGCCCTCAAGCCACAGTCCTATTCTTAGATTCTTCAATTATTTGCTATGAAGAATCTGCAACATCTTGGACTAGGAACTTGGGCTATCCCTCTCTTCCCATGCAAGGCAGTTTCTTCACTCCTCTCCTGGGTACATCTCTAGGCATCTGGTGACTGCTCCCAGGACCCTCATCAAAGATGGTGCTTTGGGTCTCTGCATGTTCAAGCCAGGGTGGGTCCATGACCAATGATTTTCAAAATGTAGCTTCCAGAGTCATAAAAAATGCAGATGCTCATTGTGTGGTGGACAGAGGCAGATAGGCTCTGGGCTGCCCACCCCTGCTAAACCCCAAACTGTAACTGGGTAGAATTCATTCCTAAAAGTCTTGTGTATGCTATACTTGGTGCTCTTCGTTATTCATATTGGCCTCTACCCTTTAGCAGGTATATTTCTTCAGATACACATTTTGTTTCTCTGAAAACTGGATCTTCTTAGCTTTTTTTTTCTTTTAATTTTGGTTAGTTCATTGAGGTTCAGGTTCTCAGGTTGGAAGCAGTGTGGCAGAACAGCCCACTTCCAGTGTTCCTTCTTACTGGTCAATGTCTCTGCATTCAGTAATTCAACTATCAATTGTGGCTTTAAATATGTTGCAATTTACAGGTGAAAATACTTAAGGGTGAGTGGTTAAACAACCTGCTCAACATCACCTAGTGGATAACAATGATTGATAGCTTTTAACGTCAGTTCCGTCAGACAACAAAGCCCACATTTTTAAAATGCTATGCTATACTCTCTGAATGCTCAAACGAGGGAGGGTCCACGCCCAGTAATTTTCAAAACATGGTCTCCAGAGTCATAAAAAATGCAGGTGTTTATTGTGTGGTGAATTCAAGCAGATAGGCGCTGGGCCACCCATCCCTGCTAAACATCAAACTGTAAATATATAGTTCACAGAGTACTTCCTATGTGCCAGGGGCTGGTTTAAGCATTTTAATTACACTAACTCATTTCAATCTACCAAGTCTGTGAAATAGTTACTATTATTATTGGCTATCAATATTACGCCTATTAAGCTGATGCTTAAAGGTTAGGTAGTCCAGCCAAGATCTCATAAGTAGTGTTGCCAGATTAGAATCCAAGGAGTCCCTTGCTTTTAACGACTATCCTACCAAAAGTTCCTTGCCTAATAAAATGTTTGAATATTACTGATCAAGCCCAAGTTTGAGGGACAGGGCCCAAAGATGCGAAAATATTTTCCTAATATAACACACTCAGGTAAAGAACAGAACAGGCTCTTGCAACTCTGTGGTCCCAGGACACTGAGGAGGGGCTCCTTTTCATGGCTTCATTTCAGCTCCACTGTGCATTTCCCTTCTCTGCCTGGAGTCTCCAGAGGAGCCTGGGATTTGGCAGGAAGGCAGGAGGGAGGCAAGCCTCACTGGAGCAGGAACGAAGAGGGTCTCTGGCAACAATAGGACGGAATTTGAAAAGCTCTAACCTCGAGTTTAGAGCGATGCTAGCTAGTGCCAGGGCTAGTGGGGTGCTCATTCCGCCGAGGGCGCGGGACAGCGAGGACAACCACGCCTTGCCAACCAAAGGCGACCTGCCAGCGTTTCCTCGGGGTCGGTCGCGGCGGTGAGGGTCACAGAATTCTCCCAGTCGCCCGTTTCCAGCCACGCCCCCTTTCCCGGGGCCCTAAATGCTTCGGTAGTACTCCTATTCCGTTAATGCCGGTGCGTCCTCGCCTCATTCCGCGAGCGCCCGCAGCTACCCAGCGCCCGCAACTCCCGAGCGCACTGCTCTCCTGCGCCGGAATGCCAGCAGCCAAAGGTCGGGAGGCGCGGGATCCTTCTGGCCAATCAGGAGTCACGTTCCATCGCGCTCTCTCTTCCCGCCCCGCCCCTCCCGTATCCACGGAAACACTGCAAGTGTCTACTCCAAGACCTAGGACTTCCGTTTCGGTCCAGCAGGGCTGCGGCCATTGTTTGTGTGGACTGAGTGTTTTGGCCATAACGGTTCACTCTCACAGGCTCCGTTAAGTGACGTGAACTCTTGGGAGGACTAAGCCAGAAGCGGACAGGGCAAGACGAGCTGTGTTTGAAGGAAGAGGGGCAGAAAATCGAGGGTCAGGGACTGAGAAGCGACTCCGGTTTAGAAACCCCGGAGACACCGGTGTAGGTGCGTACATCACGGCTTCTCTCCCACGTTAAGACTGAATAAAGGCAAGTAGAGGAGGGCAGAAGCAGCTTGGTCCCTGGGGTATGGGTGCCCGGCGTTCGGTGCTGGGGCAAAGTTCTGGCCGGGGATCTGGATAAGCAACGGAGGCCGCGCGCGTCTTCACTGCAGGAGCAGAGGACCCCCGGATCTGTGGCCAAGACCTGGAGATCCCGCTCCTAGAGAACCGTTTGTGTGTCTGGTTCTTTGGTGCTTACACTTGGGCAGCCCGTGACGCGTTGGGGGAGCCCAAACCTGTCCTGCTCTTGGAGCACGCATGAAACGTTTTTTTCCCTAGAGAATAAGGGCTCTTAACTAATTGCTTATCCTTTTGCCCAGGAACCTACCTGTGATCAGCAAGGAAGGACTGGGTTGGCAAAGGCTCATGCCCCCATTTTACAGGTAAGGAAACTGAGACCTTGAAGATCTAGAAGTTTGGTCTTCTTTAAAGTTCTACAAGTGCTTGATGACAGAGTTGAGACTTTGATCAGGACCTGGGAGCTCCAGTTCTGGGATACTTCTCTAAGACTGCGGGTACCTTTCTGATGGTAAATCCAGTATTCCTGTTTAGCAAGTAGGGGAGGACAACGGAATGATTTTCTACTTAAACTGAACAAAATAAGAAAAATACCTTGAAAATAGATACGATTTAAGTTTGCTAGTGCTTTTCTATTATTATTATTAGTAGTAGTAGTAATAATCTCAATAAATGAGTTGTATCTTTTGAAGTTTCTAGAGGGTTGCAAATAAATTTCAAGGTGCCAGTGTTCATAGCTCTCCGTTCTGGTCGTTGAAAGGAAACAAGAACATTCATAGGCTTCTTTTTGACCTCATGCTAGGAGATGTGTGCATCGTACCCAGTTAGTATATGGGGAATTTAATGAGTTTGGGAATTTAAAGTCATACCGGGTTTTCAATCCCCCTTCCTCCTCAGCTCAGCCATCTCAGCACTACCCTTCCCGAGAAGAGGAACACAAAGGAGGAAGGAATGTACACTGTTTTCCTCATAGTCTGATCCCAGGTAAGGATGATTGTCCCTGCATTCTTCATGGGTGGTGGAAGTAGTGGAAGTGGCAATGAGGATGGATGGATGACTGGACAGAAAATGTTCCTCGCTTGCCTGAGAAATTTTCAAGCATGCAGACTTGACCCTGCCCCAACCCAGTGTCTTTTCCCAACGTTTACTCATTCATTCATTCAGTCACTCAAGTCTACTTTATAATTCATGCTGTTCTTGGTGTTCTGAGATAAAGGAATAAATGTCATGGCCAGGCCTGTAATCCCAGCACTTTGGGAGGCCAAGGTGGGTGGATCACTTGAGGTCAGGAGTTTGAGACCAGCCTAGCCAACATGGTGAAACCTCATCTTTATTATAAATATGAAAATTAGCCAGGCATTGTGGTGGGCACCTGTAATCCCAGCTACTCAGGGGGCTGAAGCAGGAGAATTGCTTGAACCCGGGAGGCTGAAGTTGCAGTGAGCCAGGATGGTGCCACTGTACTCCAGCCTGGGCGACAGAGGAAGACTCCCTTTCAAAAAAAAAAAGTCTTAACATTGAGGGTAACAAATTGTGTGAGATTAATAATAATTTCTGAAGTTATCCACATTAAACAGTGCCAGAATGAGTGGCACTTAAAACACAGCAACAGAAACTCAGATTTGAACAATTATGAGTAGGAAGATATCATTCTAAATAGGAAAGCCATCATTTAGTCTCAGGTACAATTTGAGGGAACAAATAAGGAAACCAGGCTATTGACAAGGAAATGTAACATGAATGTATAAAGCCACATTGTGGAGGGCAATTAATGTTTAAATTTGTTATTTATTCTTGTGCATCTCTTCACATGAACCATATTGACAGATAGCCATTGTTGACCTCTGGGTATATTTACTTGTAGTCTTTTATCTAATACTTATTGTATATACATACTCACTTGTCTGTACAAATACTGATATGTATGTATACATGTTCATTTGTACATGTATGTACACATGTACAAATGTGAACATATATACACCCGTATGCACACATGTATATAAAAAGATTAGTGTATATAAAATATTATTAAACAATTTGAGTCATGACAAATAGGCTTCATGAGGGAAGGAAATGTTCCCAGTATATAGAATTGTATTGTGCATATACTAAGCACTCAGTAAATATTTATTCAATGTATGAATAGCTGTTATTTATGTACATTTTTCACTTAACATATAATGAGCATTTTTCCAAGCATACTTTGGTAGCATGAGTTTTAATGACTATATAGTGTTCCATTCTAGGTATATACTATGCTTTATTTAACTTTGCTTTCTTTCTTTTTTTTGAGACGGAGTCTCGCTGTGTCACCCAGGCTGGAATGCAGTGGCATGATCTTGGCTCACTGCAACCTCAGCCTCCCTGGTTCAAGCAATTCTCCTGCTTCAGCCTGCCAAGTAGCTAGGACTACAGGTGCATGCTGCCACACCTGGCTGATTTTTTTGTATTTTTAGTAGAGACGGGGTTTCACCATGTTGCCCAGGCTGGTCTCGAACTCCTAAGCTCAGGCAATCTGCCCACCTTGGCCTCCCATTAAGTTTGCTTTTTATTGGGGAAAATTTAAGTGTTTCCCAATATTTTGTTGTTATAAATATCTTATAATACTTAACATAATTTATTAAGTATATGTCTTTTTATATTCTCAAGATATACTCTGAGAAATAGGAAAACAGAATCAAAGGATATAAGCATGTTTTAGGCTTTTGAAAAACTCACATTCTCTTTTAGAAATGTTACATGATCTTGAACTCCTACAACCATTTGATTAATGATTCTGTCTTACTGAGCCTTTGCCAGCATTGAGTATTAATTTTTAAATTTTGCCTTGATTTGCATCCTTTTAATCCTCAGTAGGGTTGACTTTTTTACATATATTCATTGACTCTTTATATTCCTTCTTTGATGAATCGCCTTTTGATATATGTCACTGTTTTCCTACTGAAGTTTTTGTTTCCATTTGATAGTAGATATTCTGTGTGTAAAACATATAAATCATTTGTCATATGTTATAAATATTTCTCCTAGTTTATCATTTGCCTTTTACTTTAAGGACTTGTTTATGTAAGTTTTAAATTTGCATAAAATGAAATCTTATTTCTTTTACTTATATGGTTTTGTGCTTAGAAATCTCTTCTTCACTTCCAAATTTAATATGTAATTGCTTTAATTTTCCTGTTTATTGTGTTAAGTATTTTAAAGTTTTAATTTTTAAACCTGTCAAGAATTGATTTTGATGTGAGAAATGACAGGATTTAAACATTCTTTTTACTTCCTAGTTATTTAATTTTTCTGCTAACATTTATCTTCTCTACTGACTGTGGTGCTACCTTTTCATATACAAAATTACACATATACATTATGTGTATGAAGATTACTTTTGAGGCTGTCTTGTTTTGTGGACCCTCTTCTCAATTCTTATACTGGTATCAGAATGTTTTTATTGTTGTCCTTTATATGTAGTGCATTTAATAGGCAATGAAGAAGAATATAGCCTTTCTTTTTCACTCAATGAAGATAAAAAGGAGAGAGGATGACTTTTTCCACAGAATAATATTCTGATGATTTCCATTTTGGACAAAAAGATGTAAAAGGAACATATATAAAATAAGTTTTCAATAATAAGTATATGTTAATCTTTCATTATATTTAATCAGTATAGCACATTGGTCATAGTACAGGCTCCACATCTACTACCTAAGCTTATTGCATGTCTATCACTTCTTAGTACTGTGAACTAGATTGAATCACTTAGCCAGTCTTTTATCTTTATATTGGAGAAATAACAGCTACTGTGTAGGGCTGTTAAGAATGTTAAACAAGATCATACATGTAAAAATAACTTACAACAGTGCTGGACATGAAGAACTCACTAATAATTGATTGCGTTAAGTTAGCTATTATTTGAACTATAATGCATATCTGATATAATTTTTTTAGTCACTAAGACATAAGAACTGAGACAGAGAATCAAGCTTAATTTTTTTTTCTGCCAGATGTCATCGTTTGTTCCAACATCATTAATTGAATAAGCCATCTTTCCCCCACAAATTTGATGTAACCTTTTTCATGTGTAAAATGCACTGTTGTACTCGTGTCCATTTCTGGATTTGTACCCGTTTCCATTGATCTTCTCTACTTCTATGTCAAGTCATGTTATGAATTACAGAGTCCTTGTTAAAGTTTTAATATGCCATTGAATTAGCCTTTCCTCATTATTCCACTTTCAAAATGGTTTTCTTTCAAAAGCATTTAAAAATCAGTTTGTTACAGCTCCTCCTCCCCCACATCAAAATCAAGATTAACATCTTGATTAAACCTGCTTGAAAACAGAGATAAGTTTAGTTAGAACAAAATTATATTTATTTCTCCTAAGATTGAGCAGAGTCATCTTGTTTTTTCAACTGTTTTGTGTGTGTGTGTGTGTGTGTGTGTGTGTGTGTGTGTGTGTTTGAGACAGAGTCATCTTGCTCTGTTGCCCAGGCTGGAGTGCAGTGGCACACTCTTGGCTCACTGCAACCTCTGTCTCCTGGGTGCAAGTGATTCTCATGCCTCAGCCTCCCAAGTAGCTGGGATTACAGGTGTGATCTGCCACGTCTGGCTAATTTTTGTATTTTTAGTAGAGACAAGGTTTCACCATGTTGGCCAGGCTAGTCTCGAACTCCTGACTTCAAGTGATCTGCCCGCCTTGGCTTCCCAAAGTGCTGGGATTACAGGCATGAGCCACCGTGCCCGGCCCCAACCTTATTTTTAGCCCTCAAATTCTAAGACTATCTTTATATAGGTTCTGAGTATTTTTGGTAAATTTATTTTTAGGAATTTATATTCTTATTGCTATTACACATTTCATTTAGGCAGAGCTTGCAGTGAGCTGAGATTATGCCACTGCACTCCAGCCTGGGTGACAGAGCAAGACTCCATCTCAAAAAATGTATATATATATTATTTATATGTCTGAACTCTTTTTCTATACTCTTAAATTTTATGTATATTTGAACTTTATTGTGATGTATTTCATGTAAGCAAAAGAATATATGAAAACATATGTACAATTTATAATAACATGAATATCCACCATTGAACTCAGCATATACTGTTTTTTCTTTTTAAGACAGACTGTTTGCTTTCTCTCCCACCCTGGAGTGCAATAGCATGATCTCAGCACACTGCAACCTCCACCTCCCGGGTAATATATATATATATTTTTTTTCTGTGACAGGGTTTCCCCATGTTGGCCAGGCTGATCTCGAACTCCTGGCCTCAAGTGAACTGCCTGCCTCAGCCTCCGAAAGGGCTGAGATTATAGGCATGAGCCACCATGCCCAGCCTAAATCAGCATATACTTTTAAAAGCCCCCTGATGA